GCAATCCCAATGGTGGTCATATGTTGTGTAGTGGCCGTTCACCCTGTGCGTGCAGGTGTGAGACTATATAAGCTATGTCAACCAAGCCGTTTATTGAACTGTGCTGTTGAGGCAGATTTGAAATGATTTCTGTTTCTGTACTGTAGGTAAAAGCTGTGCACTGCAAAGCTGGTGATACCGTCGGAGAAGGAGATCTGCTGGTGGAACTGGAATGAAAGCTTGCCTCCATGCTGTTGAATTAGCTAACTTTTATTATTTCCACCCATAAAGTAAAGTTAAGGCAATTCAACACAGAAGACGGGACAGTCCTACGTGCAAGATTTTATACAGTTGTATTTATTGTATCAGTGGTTAAGACAGCAAACACAGATGTTAAACCTTGGCAACAGATCCCAGATTTTTACTTCCAGAAATACTTGTACATAACCTTTGTAATTCTTTGATTTTTCAGGATCAAATAAAATCAATAAAATACCATTTCTTCTTTAAAACAGGAAAAGCCTCTTTTTTTAAAAAAGAAAACAGAAGCCCAAATCTGAGTCGTCTTCTCCCTGGTAGTATCACTGGTTTGAGGCCCCAGCCAAATTGACCAGAATGGTTGGTAAAAGTGAAAAATCAACCACTGAGTGGTTAACCGAGCAGTTTTCCTACGCTCTGTGTAAGCGCTGAACAAGTCCTGCCGATGGCTTAAATTCTGGTCAGATTTACTGTAATATTTTGAAGCCTTTGTATAGACTAGATTTAAATGACAGGTTAGATGTTTTATTTTGCTAGTGCAGACCTGCCCTGTGTATTTTTCTTTTACAGTTGCAAGGGAATTTTCTTCTTTTATTCAGACTCCACGCTCAAATATCTGCCCCCCTAGCCCTTAATCTTCTTTCAATCGATCACTGGATGCAAGTCCTTACAGAAGGAGCTGGCCGTGTCCCTGAAAGCCCTTTAGCTGCCCCGAGGTATCGCTGGAGACTCTTCTGTCCCTCAGGCCAAGCCTCCTCCTGAACTTACAGGCAAGGGAGACCCAGGTGTCTGAGCTTTTGTTGTGCAGAGGCTCTTTCTTACTAAAGCCTGTGTGAAGAACTGCTGGAATGTGTCCAGAGAAGAGCAATGAAGCTGGTGAGGGGTCTGCTGATGAGGAGCAGCTGAGGGAGCTGGGGTTGTTCAGCCTGGAGAAGAGGGGGGTGAGGGGG